CAGACAGATGAATAAATAGCCTTTTTTCTTGGTCAAAGGGTTAATGCCAGAAATTTAAGGAGCTTAATCAGATATCTGCACTGACATCAATAAAGGTCAAACACAACTTCAAATATTTGCAATGCTGTGATCATTAAATTGTTATTTTCTTGATTTTAATGTCTAGAACAGTTGAAGCGACATGTTGTTTTAGACCTTAAGGAACCATTCATCTCTCTTATCTCCCATAATTATGATGAAAACTCCTCTGAGAAATGCATTAAGATTAAAAGCTGTTTGATGGTCCCTAGTGTGAGCGGCCTTTTCGATAAAAAAACGACATTTTGGCAAAGAAGTTTAGATTTTTTTACTTGGTTTGTGATATTTACCTAAATTTCTCCCTTCCTCAAAGGTCACTGACAACCCGTAAGCCTCAAGTAGAGAGAGGAGAGAGCCGTGAGGAATTTACGAGTAGCTGCACACGCTCTGCCATCATCTCAGCCTCACATCCTCAGGTGTCATATAAGGAACGTTCCTGGGCTTCTGATGACACACACACACACACACACACACACACACACACACACACACACACACACACACACACACACACACACACACACACACACACACACACACATTTTTGTGAATTCACATACTGCAGTCCTTTTCACCTCAGGTTACAGGATAATTTATAATAGCTTTGAGTGTCTCCCCATATGGCTCCAACCATTCACACTGATCCCTGTGAGGTTCCGAATGAGCCAAAATCGTTGTCCAGGCTGCTGAGGAGCACAGCTGAACTGAATCCTCCTGATGAGCCACACCTAGGATAAAAAGGCAGTTTAGGTAAAACTTTTAACAAAGTTTTAACCAGGTGTTTTATATAGTTGATAATTTGTCTTTTAACTGTTAACCTTATAGTGAATTTTTCGTTTTGCATTATTTTAATAATGCTCGCCATCTGTTTGCTTTTGTTTTTAGAACCTTTTATCACAATAAACCCAATTTAAACGCCACTGTCGTATTTCTTATGTTACCCCCTCCTTCACATTTTAACATCTCCTGTCGGGGACGTAACAGTCCATGACTTTGTCTAGTTCACACGTTCACTGCACAAGTGAGAACACTTTTGGCCTTAACTCTTTAAATGGCACTGGTGTGTCTGTGGTCACAAATGTAATTCATAAAACAATGTAAAATGTTATGACATGTTACTTATTTCTAAGCTCAATGTAGAAGTAAAATGCCATTCGTGACCACAGATGCACTGGTGGCATTTGGTGTGTGTGTGTGTGTGTGTGTGTGTGTGTGTGTGTGTGTGTGTGTGTGTGTGTGTGTGTGTCATCAGAAGACAAGACAGTTGCTTATATGACACCTGAGGATGTGAGGCTGAGATGATGGCAGAGCGTGTGCAGCTACTCGTGAATTCCTCACTGCTCTCTCCTCTCTCTACTTGAGGCTTATGGGATGGATGGAGGCTAAATATGGAGATGCAGCAGAATCCGTGCATAGTAACCAATCTGCTGCAGCCTGTCACGCAGCATGAAGACTTTAGTGAAAGATCTATATTTGGACAATAATCGTCTGATGCATGCAGGATCCTAACAAGCTTTGCTCCAAATTGCTGCAGTGTTTCTCAGACTAATAATGCAGCAAGAAAACGAGTAAACAAGCATCACAAAGCTGCATTCTTTTATTGTCTTCTTCATTAAAGCTCTCACAGCTCAGAGGCAAAGCTGGGTTCTCCAGCAGTTTGAGAATGACTCAGTGTCTGCTTCTAGAAAGCCACAGTCACTTCATCTGGATTTGAAATGCTGTAACTTTGATATTTTCAAAGCTGTGATTCTTTGAATCATTGTGCCTCATGTGGCAGTCAGAGACTCGCGGAGCGCTGCAAAAGCTCTGGGTGGGAAATTCAGGGATAATACATTATTAAGCCAACCACTTGGATGCATATTTTACGTGATTCGTCACCGTCAACTCTAGCTGATGGAATCCAGCTCCTGGACAGCGGGACTCAAAGATGGCAGACTTGTCACGGCTTTTGGATCAGTAGGAACTAATCTGAACTTTTCAGTTACATTGGATGAATCTCTCTGAAGAACAAAAAAAAAATAAATAAATAAAACGTTCACACATTTGTAAGATACTTTTGTTGGCCTTCTTCATCTGTTATTCTCATTTGTCTCTTTCTTATTTCTCTGTTGGCCTTTACATCAATGTTTTTTTGATGTCCACAAAGAAGACATAATGAGATGCATGGAGTTCATCTCATAGACTCTGAGCAAAAGCTGGGTTGGGTCATACTGCAGACGGGTGGATGGTGAATTAGGCCGCTCTCTTCTGTCCCTGGGAGCAGAGCGCTACATGCCTGCAGCCGGTCGACCGTAGATAAGCAAAGGAGACTCTCAGCTAAATAATTCATTTCAATGGGAGCCTTCTGAGCACACGCAAACACAAGGTCTACTCTAAAGTAGCTGCTACTTGATTTGGATTGCTGCACAAACCCACAGCAAACACACACACACACACACACACACACACACACACACACACACACTTAAAGCTTCTAATTTTACTCAGTGATGAATATTTAGAGCTGGATAACAAAACATTGTCTTTGTATTACAAAGACACGTGGTGGATGAAAAGTTAGTTATGTGCCCTTTGCAGAATCTAGTTTCATGATGTTTGTATTTGATGTTTTTAAATAAACAGT